ACTTCCAATGCGATCGTTATACAACGTGATTCTATGTTGAATACGTAAGTGAACTATTCATACTTGAATAAACACATTTGATGCTATCATTTCATTAAACGATTGCATTTTTTGCGATCAAATAGGGGTAATATGACCAAAACAGCTTAATAAACATTTCTTTTCCGTACTATTTGGCAAACAAATATTAGAAATTAAAGAAGAAATTGAAGTGATTTAATTCGGGCTACTATAAATTAACAATTTTGTTAAAATCAATAAAATTATTTGCCGTTATTTTTGTTGAAAAAGAAATTTTAGCAAAAATTTATTGCAAATAGGTAAGAAGAAAAGAAAGGAAATTGAAAGCAATGAAGAGAAGAGAGTTGAGGATGATTGATAATATTATAAAAAAAGATAGATGGGATAGATGAAGGAAGTTAATTTCCTAGAAATTTAACTTTCCTACTGCTTCACATTTAGTAACGATGAGTTAAGCAATACAATAGCTGACAGATAGATAGATCGATCCATTTATAATCTAATAAATTTAATGAAGTTTTAATAGATGAATTAAATCTCTGTAATACCGTAGAATTCACTAACTTTCAAAAATGAAATATTTTTTGCTAAAACAGAGATGAAGAAATAACAGATCAAAAGAGAAATGATAAAAGTGAAATATTTTGAAATTAAACATAACTTACTGAATATTATGGCTATCCTAAACATTTCATCATTCTCTTTTTTACATAAATTAGTAGCACAATAATAATGTTAACGCATGATCTAGCCGAGGAAATTGAACGTGATGAAGGTGTAAAGAGCGAGAGAGTGGAAGAAGTAACAATGAAGGAATTTTAAAATTTCAACAATACGTATTGAATAAATTACATTTGGTTTAAAAGCATGAAAAGATGAAACAATAACACTAATCAAAATTGAATGTATTAATGATTGCAACTTTTGTTGATTAAACAAAATTTCTTACCATAAATAATTCTTAATTTGCTATATTAAAGCGATCAATGAATTCGTCATTTTTTTGTTTGTTGAAAAATTTTTGGTAGAAAATTGCTGTCATATAATAGCAGAAAAAAAAATGCAACAATTGTTACTAACTTTAAATTTTAGTAAGAATAAAATTTAATTTTAAATCTCACTGATTATCCTAAAAACTTTAAAGCGGAACAAACGGACAATGTATAAAATTGAGCGATTATTTTATTGAGAAAATGAGCGGATCATTTCCACTGTTATGAATTTCATTGACATTCAGGCTTGTTTCCTATAGAGAAAAATAACGCTTTCCCTTCTTTTCAGAAAAAGTAAACAATCGACCGAATTTATTTTAATGGCTTTTTCGTCCTCAATTCTATATTTATATCCTTTATGGCACATCAGCTAAACATCATATTTTGTGAAAGGTTTGGTATTTTCGGCACCAATTGACGATTTTAAAACATCATCCAAAAACATCGATGCATCGTACATTTTATGTGTTGTTTTATCGTAATCATTCTGCTTCGAATAATATCATACCAGTTAATTGTTTAATCTACCAATTAATAATCATTTTACTAACCTACATGTTTTATAGTAATAGAATATGCATCTTATCACAAAATTGTATTTGATAAATAACTGAATCGAAAAAAAAATTTTCACCGCGATTGTTGATTCTATAGGAGAAAAGTTCTGAATGTTTCGCAAGATAAATGTTATCAGTTTTGGACAATTTCATCAAGAATATCAAATCAGAATAATCATATCGTGTCGTGATGTAACCTAATCTTTCAATCGTATCATCAATATATGATTACTGTAATGAATAATACCAATAGTTTTGATAAAGAATCAATTAAAATAGTTAAAAGTATTCCAGCGATATTACCATAATTAACATATTAAATTTATGCTGTAAAAAAATGGAAAATATTTGTTTGTGGGAAGAAGATGTTCAAACTAAGATAACTAACATTTAAAAGTTTTTTTCTTCTTTTTTTCTCTTAAGCACCAAGCAATTTCCTTCATTTTAATGATCTTTACGATTGTAAGAAGAACATTTTCTTAATGAGTTAAGTAAGTCAAGCAAGCATCCATTAATATTATTGGAATATCTATTGTCTACGGATACATGAGAGAATCATTGCTTCCTGCCACTCTCATTAAGAATAATTCCAGAAAAGCATATTTTCTGCATCTGTCTGGAATAGTTAGCCAAAAAAGCAGCTCTAAGTTGTATATTTGAATGAGCGATAAATTATTCTAGGAAAAACACAACGCTTTCTTTGTATTATTGAAAAAAATGCAAAAGAGCATTTTTAAAATTAAAATCTTTCATAACTATTTCTAATAAATTTCACAGAAAAAATTATTGAGGAAAATTTCTGTTTTAACTTTTATTTGAAAATAATTTTTACTAACATTCTATTTCATTAATTCCATCTAACTTATCTCTTTTACCTCTTTTTTCCCGATCTTTTTATTTCAGTATTTTTAATTCTAAAAATTTATTTCACTAAATGACACCTTCAACTAATTTTTTTTTTCACTCTATTTCCCCTTCAGTTTGTTGGAGGTTATTTCAGAATAAGTTGAAGTTAAAATCTCCTAATCACTCTTACTTACTTCTTACTGCAACTTTTAATGGCATTATGAGGGAAATAATCTGACATCTGAAATGATGTCACCCATATGCATATAGAAATGATGTCAATGTAGAGTTTATCTGATCTCATCATCCATAATTAACTGAAATTTTGGTAAGTCACGCGAGATGCAAATGTCATTTAGCAAAAATATTAACACCACATGCATTTCTTCTTTTCCTAAATTTACCTTTAAGTATCATTTAGAGATGTATGACAAAACCAAAAAAGCATTAAGTTAATCAAGCAAAAATTTTCACTGGGCAGAACCTAACTTAACAATTTTAATTCTTCTGAACTTTTTCAGAAGGTATATTTCTTGCTCTAAGCATGAATAGATAGCTACTAATACTAAGAATTTATTGTTTTTCTTATGAATTATTAAACTGACTCAAAATTCAAAGAATCACTTGATTCCTCTTATCAAATTATTGATCGTTTTGAGGTTTTTCCATCTGAAGGATTCATTGTCTTCACTTACAGTTGGCTCTAACTGATTAAAAATAGAGCGAGTTCTTCAATATGAAATGATAGTGAGATTTATTACAATGGACAGCATGTTGTGTTTTTCCTATAATCTTCAGAATATTTCTGAAAATTTATTAAAAGTAACTTAAAATATTAAAAGTAACTTAAAATAAAAAATTCGTTAAAACATATAAAAATCACAGTTCTGAAGATGAGAATTCAAAAATTTCAGAATTCGAAAATTCCGTTACTTTTTTTAGAAATATGTTTTTCAGATAAATGCATAATTATTTTATTGTTTATTCATTGCTTGATGGTTTATTATTAATGACTTCTTGTCATTTATGTTATAGCTATTTTAAACTAAATAAGTGACGTAAAAATTAAGCAAAAAATAAATTTGAGTGATTCCTTAGACTAGAAAATATTTGCCAGTACAATTATAACTCAAAAACTTTTATGAAGATGAGCCATGGTGGTCATAGAAGAGCTTTATGGAGCTGAGAAGTTGTTGAAGAATACAGAATCAATTAGCCTTTGGTTATTTGGACTAAAGTTCGAATTAAAAAAATGACAAATGGTACCTTATGAGCTGAACGATAAGTAATTTTCTTATTTCACGTTACAACAATAATTAATTTCTCGATAAGATTTAGCGAATAATTGTGTACAACAACCGATGACGATCAGCTTATTGATTTGAAGGAGAAAGCACTTGCATAAAAAATGTCATGGTAACTTTTTGCTGATCTGTGTGCAACGAAAAAATTCCTGAATCTCGACAAAACTGTTACATCTGAAAAGTATACTCAGCAGATCGATTGCTGTAAAGCCTAAAGATGACATTAGTCATTAGAAAGGGTCAATTTTCCATGACATTGAAGGCCACATCACGGAGACTAATACTTCTTGAGATAAGAATTTTATTTTATTTACCATATTCACTTGACTTCTCCCAAATCAGTTCCCTCTTTCTCCCCTTCCCACTTCTTCCTTCATTTCGCGATCTATTGCAGAAGGATACAGAAAATGCTTCTGAGAACCCGTTGAATCTTGAAAGAGAGCTTCTAAGCCATAAGAGTAAACAAACTTGTTTCCCCTTGGCTTATATTGATTGTCATAATTTCCATTTTTTTGTAATTCACTTATAATAATTTGAAATTCGCTGTCGAAAAGCGCAATTAATTTGCACACTAGTACTTGTTCATACTCATGACTAAAGAAATGCTGTTTGAGATTAAATATCGCGTCAAACAAACAGAAAAGGAATGGACATAATTTCATCACCTTTCTGTCATAAAATTCACCAAAAGAATGAACAAAAATGAGGTGATAGCTGATCGTTATCAGAGATAAAATGCACGATAGAAAAGATTGTCAAAAATAGTGTAAGTAACTGTCGATAATCTTGGAGCATCCATTGAGTCAAAAAATTCGTTTCCCTAATTAATGATTGGAAAGATTAACCTGATTAAGGAGAGGGAGATAAATTTTCGCCCACAATAGTGAAGAATCTACTGAAAGAACGGCAAATAAATTTTTCTCGTCATCCTCTCTTGTGATATCATATGAAATATAAAATCTGTTCGATTCATGTATTCGAAGAATGCTAAAATCAATTTCTTCTATAGCTTTTCCCTCGGAATTCCCGGTTATTTCAGTGTTGGGATTTGGTTTGAACTATTTCAGCGTTACAACAGCAGAAAATTGGTTCCCAGACGGAATATCAGGCTACGGTTATTTTGTTGTGGGTTCTCTTGTGATTAGTGTGTGGGTATGGTGAGTCGCCAGGGTTTTCCTAGGAAGTGGGAGTGGGGTTGGCGTGTATCTGTTGGCGGGTGTTTTGTGAGAATGAACTTTTGGTAGATTTTATTTCGCGATATAAATGAAATATTTTAGGAAATGGATGACGACAGTGAAGCGATTACAACGTTGAAAATTTTAATTATTGGTGAAAGTGGTGTCGGCAAGTCGAGGTCGTAAGCTTATGAAATAAAAAGCATATATATACGTAATTGTCTGAGCAAGTTTATATGACAGTAAATTCTGGTAATTAGATAAGCATCTCTGCGATAAATAGAATTGTCATTGAGGAATATGTTGTAAATGATAATATGTTATTATTTTGAAAATAGTGGTTTCATTGAAGCAGTAGAGTAGTTCATATGTAGATAAGGAAATAAACTGCAAGTTTTAGTAGACTAATTCACTGTTCGATAGGGAAAATTTCATAAAAATTACAAAATTTTTCATGGCAATTGAAATTTATTTCAGCCTGATGTTGAGGTTTGTAGATGACACATTCGATCCGGAAATCGCCGCTACAATTGGTTGGTTTTCATCATTCGTTGTTTTAAAGCTGTAAGATATTACTGATAGATATCTGATTATGTTCATATTAAGGAGTTGATTTTCGAGTAACATCAATGATGATCAATCAGAATCGGGTGAAATTAGCTATCTGGGCAAGTTTTTTTTCGTTTTATTTACTGCTACATGCAGGACTTAGCTATGTCTTCCCGATGAATTCACATTTGCATCAACCATATTGTTAATCCCGATTGTACGGCTTGTAATTTAAATTATCACAATTTAACCAAAGGAATACTTGACAGAGACATGTAGGCTTTTCGGAAACTTTTATATATCCTATATATTTCATTATGTAGTTGACTTTTCCACCAGAGTATCAAGGTCTAGTTTGTCGAGTTGTATAAACAGTGGTAGTTCAAAGATATATTATTCAAGAATTTCTCCAACCTACATATTGGGTACTTATGCACCATTTTTTACAGGACACAGCTGGGCAAGAACGGTTCCGTACTTTAACACCAAGTTATTACAGAGGAGCGCAAGGAGTTATATGCGGTAAGTATTTAACAACCTTTAATTTTTGCCATGATATTATGTAACAATAAATAATTGGACTGAATGAAGCTTACTTGAGTAGAGTGGTGCGTGAATGTGACGTCCATATAGTTGATCATTTTTCATTATCATGCCTCTGAGTTATCGGAACCGTGTAATACTATTTTCATATGTTTCTTCGATCTTTCCGATGATTTCTACTATGAATTTAACGATATTATAGTGAACGACAAAATTAAAAATTTTTCAGTGTATGATGTATCAAATCGTCAAACATTTGAACGACTTGGCCACTGGATGCATGAAGTAGATACGTATTCAACCAAAACGGATGCTGTGAAAATGCTCATTGGAAATAAAATTGATATAGTAAGTTTTCCGACAAAAAATTACAAATAATGTGTATGTAAATAGGAAATTGGGCAAGTGTACTGAATATATAATGATTTTGTAGTCCAGTAGAGAGGTTGCTCGAGAAGAAGGATTAGAATTCGCGAAAAAGTATCGGATGCTGTTTATTGAAGCAAGTGCTAAAACTCGTGAAGGTGTGCAGTGTGCATTTGAAGAACTTATTGAAAAAGTTTGTATTCATTACATGTTTTCCTTCTTCCTCTGAAATTTGAGTCTTATTTAATTTGCCTCCCACTGGTGGACTTATGTTGAATTTCTTAATGTTGCAATAATTGCAGATGTTAAGCTTTTCATTTTACCTGCTGTTTACTATCGGTAGTTGACTACAAATGTAGTAGCAATGCCAATGATGTGAACTAGCCAATGCTGATCTTTACTGTGATAGCTTAACTCTATGAGTTAAGGAGAAGTGAACTGAGGCATGTAATGTTTTCTTACTTTTTTTTGTTTTCTTGCTTTTTTTTTTATGTTTTCTTGCTTTTTTAGGTTTTGCAAACGCCCGGACTTTGGGATAGCGATCGATCAGCCTTCGCCCTTGGTGCTGGTGCAGATCAGACTATTGGTAATTGTACATGTTAATGTATAAAACGACTTCAGACTACTTCGACTGTCGTGCCTGAATGAAGCACTTGCATTTAATATACATTTAATTCGCTCCTGATTCAGACAAGATGTTTTCGTCAATCAGAATCATAGGGAAGCAGAAGAGCCATGATTTCTTGCTTGTTTCATTTTATGATATCAATTTTTGCGATTAATTTTGAAGCTTTTTTTCTGTCGCAATTGTCAACAGTGATGCTAATTATAAGGAAGCCATTATCTTTTGCACTTATTGGTATCGCTACTCGCGCCATGTTGTAAAAAAAAGTATGTGAATTTTTTTGTAAATAGTGCAATTGCAGTAGAGATGATTGTAAAGGTGATTTGTTTGTTGTATTAGGCAATGGTTTCATGGCTGGCATTGTATGTTTCTTTCAAGTGGTCTGTCTAACACCTTGTCCGGTATAAGTTCTTCATTTGGGCAGACAGTATAATCATGCGTAGTCATCCTTTTATCTGTTTTCATCATCAATAGGAAAGTAGACATAGTTGAATCGGATGATGCTTTGCTGTTGTGAAATGATATTATTTTTGTGAATTAACTTTCCTTCCTGCGGTCACAACTTTTTTTTGAGGTTTTTCTGAAAATATGAATATAAATATTTGAAATCTGGACTGTATTATTGATGAATTTGAAATAATTTGTATACTTTTTTTACTGCGCTACAATAATTAAAATGATTCGTATTCGTAATATGATTGTAGCTTGAAGTAGCAGGACTGTGTCTTGTTTGTTTTTTGGAATTCACTATTTTAAAAGCAGTAGATAGATGTTATTTAGTGGGTTTATTTCAATAATTAGGGGAATAGCCTGAGTTATGCGACCTAATAATCCGACAGTAAACAGAGATTCCGCCGACAACAGATTCGTGGAAAATACCGCTGTATGTTTGAATTACAAATTTCAGGTTGAAAATTAAATGAAAATCGGTGAATAAATCTCGCTTTTGTTTTTCGTAGACATTATGATCAACTTGATGGAACAATCCCGCTCTGTGTATCAGTGAATGTGCGTAGTGTAAGGTTGAGTTGGTCGTATTTTGGTAGTGCTGCAAGTGGCTGATTTATTCTAGAAGCATATATGATGATAATTTTAAATTGCATTTTCAGTGGATAATCAATGGGATTTGTGTTTTAAAATTAGGTCGTTGCATAATACCATGAGAAAATTTTAATCAACAAGAATGGGAATTGCACTACAATCGTGCCAACGCTGCATGATAATTATTGGTGGTACTGGTAATAAGGATACTGTTTCTACATACAAATAATCTGTAAGAGTGATTAACTGTTCACTTAAACAAGAATAAACGATTATCCATCAATCAACTTTTTCTTCTCAAAAGGCTTGTAGCTTGTATCATTCATTTTCTTTGACATATAATCTTCCCAAATATATGCGATGTCCATTATTGATGAATGACCATTTCGATTTTTTGTATAAAAAAGGGGCTGGGGACATTCATTTCATCTAACAAAAAGGGGAAGCTTTGTGAAATAAAGCAGAGACAGATGAAAAATCACTCTTACTCTGAATGAGCAAGGGAGAGAGAGGGAGAGACCGATCCAAAGTGTACCCTTTTGTGTGCAGTTGGTCTAAGGCACGCATATCCATCCATAATCAGTTTGCATGACAATCCTCTAAAGCTATGTCATTAAATTATAGGCTTCCCGTTTCTCTTTGCCCCTCTTCCTTAAATTATTTATTTCAGACATAGACATATATACAAAGAGTATTTAATGGGAATTTTTAGTTCACTTTTATGTTTTAGCAAGCTCGGGAAATATTTTATCTTTTTTGTTAACGATCATTCATTCTTTCCCTCTCTCTCTCTCATTGTCATCATCGATTTTAAGATGATCGTTAAAACGTTGCTGATAAAGTCTTGACGATTTTTTGATGGAATTTTACAAATTTGAGAATTGGAAAAACTTTACACTGACGTATTTGACGCAACACAGAGCTATACTTTCACGGTTTTAATGAAAGAAGTCATAGAATATAAACAAATTTCTACTTATAGAAGCTGGAAATTTTATGGACAAGAATGAAAAAAAAGATTATAAGTGAGATGAAAATCTTTAAAAGTGACACTTTAAAATATTTCAGCAACATTTACTGGCCAAATTGGAACATATCATTGGAGCGGATCGATAGAGCACGATGATAGCGAAATATATTCTCAAACTTTAAGCAAGTTACTATGGATTAGTTGATTAAAATGAAAGGGACCACAAATGCTAATGAGTTAATTTCGTAGTGGTGGAAGGATCTGACCACATAGTTGTTTCAATCTTTCCCCATAAGCTGCTAAATCTTTCATTAGCACTGCATTGAATTACCAAAAGATTTTGGGGAAGAAACGGGAACAAATTGAATTTCAATTAACACTTTTTTCTTCAAATACCAATACAGTCATAAAATAGAAAGATGATATTGTTAAATTACTTTTGATGTTGCCAAGTTTCACTTAATCATTTGAAATTATCGTCACTTAAATAAGTTAATTAAACCGAATTTATCCTATCATATTTATACATGTAAGATTGAATTTATGAATTTATAAAATAATTCGGAACGAATGAAATTGGAAAAGGGATGAGAAGAGAAAGGGCGCTGATCACCGGAAAATTTGAGTGTGTCGTGTCAAATTATTGAAATAATTTAGACTTAAGAGAACAGCGATTAGTAACGAAATATCAATTTTCAAGAAATAGTCTTCAATTTCGTTCTCTTATCCAATTTATATGCTTTCTTATCCTTTTCAGACATCAATTTAATTTAACAAACCTTCGGAAGAGATGACTGTTTCGTAGACACTGCACAGCGAAAACAATGCACATTTTAGGATGACGAACTGATGAATAAATATTATTCTATGGAGAAAAATAATTCATTCAACAATGTACTCATTCATAATTTGTTGCTAAGAAATTTGGAACATTTTACATTCAGCAATTTCCTTCAGTGTCACATAATTTCTTCTAATATTGAAATTGTCACCAAACTTGTCATTGCCATTAAATTTCGCTTATATTAACCGAAAATCCGCTTTAATCTATATTTAAAATGGGTTCATTTTAACAAAACTGAGATGATGTATGATTATATTCTGAAGATATTCATCCTTCTTTCCAAAAGAAAGGTGTTGGAATCAAAAAATATTTTCAAGGAAAAATTCTAACACATCAGACCAATTCATGGGAAATGTTCAAATGAAGGTAATTACAATTCATTATACTCCATACTTGGATCAATGCAGATGAAATAGTGCTTGAAATAAGTGTGCTAAGAAAGGGAAAGAAAGGAATTACGAAAAAGTTTAAGATTAATGTCGTGCCGTTATATTGCCAACATTGTCATTAATCATATCGACACATCTTAAAGTCATACAATAAAATCAAAAGGTTATACATAGGTTATCATTGTATTGCAAATTAACCAGCTAAGAGTTGTTATTTGTTTACCTTGTTTAATTTATTGTAAACTGCTTTTGCGGTAATTATTTTGAACTAGCAGATTAATCATAATATAAATTGCAGGCTAATTACACTTCACAAATAATTTAATTTAATAAATCAAAAAATGAACAAATAACTAATGAAATGAATAGGAATTTATAATAATTCATCATCCGCCATCCCATTGGAGATTTGTTTACTTTTCGCTTTGGACTGTAATATCTCACTCTCACTGGCAATTAGTTAAAGCAATATATCTTCTATCGCATAAGAAAATCGATCTGTGGTCAAAGGTGTGAATGTACTGACCATATTTCTTGTACTGACCGTAATGTATATAATTAGTCGCCGGTAGAGTAGATCTCATTACACAGGTAAATATTTAACCACAAATGCTGGTCAATGATACAAAAGTCGGACATTTTCACCCAACATTGATAAAACATCGCCTTCGATCAGCTAAATCGCCTTATTTTCATGGCAACTATTGAATTTTGAATAGCAAAAATTAGTGCTCCCTGCAAATGAGAAGAACCCGAAATTTTTGCTGAATGGTTGGCAATAGCTACTCCTGCTTGTACTTCCAGCTGATATCAAGCATAAGAATAAGATGCAAAGAAACAAGTTGAATAAAAAACAGAATTTCATCTTTTTTTCAAAGAAAAAATAAGGAGGCTCTCATTATACGCCTAAATAAATTAATCCATCAAATACTATTAAACACTGAAAAAAGAAAACATTCAAAACTTTTCATCATTCAGTAACGTAAAGTTTAGATACGTCTCATCGGTGATGATTCATCGGTGATTTCTCTCAGATCGTATGTAATTTTCAGCAAATTAACACATCATCTGAGAGGTCAAATGATTTGAAAGAATTCAATGTTTTCAGACTTATGTCATCTATGATTGACTACCTTACTTACTGCTGTCATGTGTATATACAAATCTGCCCGTTTATAACGATCATTCTCACCCGGGATTTTAAATCCACTAGTATACGCTAAATCTCAGTGTCATCCAATAGGTTTTTAATAAACATGTAAAGCTAATTTCCTGACATCAGATCAGTTGTTTGACTGCTCAATAACATATTTCTTTGTTTCAGTAATATTTCCTGCTTAACCGGAAGGTGTTCGAACAACTGCTACATCTTGGAACTTTAATTTCGAGGTGTTCGGTTTCAAGATTTTTAACCAAATCCGAAACATGTCCCAACAAATCGGAGTGACGTCATTACATGGCAATTCAAGCCAGAACGAGTCATCCACCTGGCGAAACAAGAATACATGAGTCATAGTGATAGAGCCATGTATGCGCCGTATGTCTGAGTGTCAAACATATGAGAGGGCGCCATTCCAGGAAAAGAAGCCACAGTTCAGTGATGTGCCTTCCCGCCATTGTATCTATTTGAAATGGACCAATAGGAATGGATGAACAGGAAATTCAACCAATCAACAACCAGAAATAGCATTCACTTGCCCAGCATGTCCACCTACGCACTGCCACTTCTCCAAACATGGCCGCTTGAAGTAGAGAATGTACAAAAATGAGAGGAATAGATGGAGAGCGTGCGCGGACTGTTATGTTTGCATGTCTCTCTATACGTATAATGGCATGTGTAACTGCCTAGTGGGTTATTTTGTGCTGGTGGTTGTGGGTGCTGGGTGGTTGTCCGGACGGCTTGCTATTACGCTTGTCGTGTTTCTTGAGGTAATTGAGATTCTCGATGCGCGGGTGCTGTCCATTACAACACTTGCAGATCGGGGGCTTTTCGCCAGTAGGTTAAATTTGCTTTACTCGAAAATCTGCCTTGAATATCATGTTACGAGAGTTAGTATTTCGGTGCAATTGAAAGATGTGGGTAATATCTGAAAACTGCATTTCAGAGGTTAAATACCTTAAGAACCTGTTATTGGGTTCGGATTGTACTTAAACACAATCATTTTACGATGCAAATCAATCATTTCTGAAAATCCTTTTTCTCAAGATAAACCATCATGAGGATTGCTGAAGATAAGTCATCCTGAGAGGAGTCTTTTCCGGAGGTTCGATCACAGCTTGTAGACTTTGTGCAGGTAGCGGTGGTGACATCGGAATTTTTTTCAAACGGGTTGAACTTTCTATAGTTGGAGAATCCTGAAGGTCGTTATACATAATGCATTTTATATGTTCAGGACGGAGATGAAGATGGGAGCAAGAAAAATTATTATTAGTGATTTATTTTTTGAATAGAATTAACTTTTTCTTTTATGAAAGTTTGTATTGCAATATCGATTCTCTTTTTTTGGTTTGGCTTCCACGTAAATTATTGAAAGAATGCAGTATCTTGACACAACATGACATACTTTTATTTGAACATTCAATTTTTTTTAAGTTTTAAACTCACTGAACGAGTATTAAATTCTCATTGGAAAACTTGGGAGATGCTTAATGAAAGGATCGTCATAGAGTTAATCATTCTTAGTCAATAAGATTCATCTTGACCTTGTCAATATGCGATGAGTCCATAACTGACTTCTGGTTATTTCTTTTTTGCAGTGCTAATTTTTACAACACTATCGAGTAGTTTTACGTGAAATGGTTTTTCATGAAATAAATTAAAACTACAGAATGCGACGTACGTGTGTTGCATTGTAATTTTAATTTCTAAGACACAGTTTTCTACTTACCAAAGGGATATTTATGCAAAAAAACGTGGAGTGCCGTTTTCTGTCTTCTTGTTCTGAAGGAATTAGGATGAATTGAGTTCATTATCTATTCATAAATAAACTCTTCCTGTCACTTTTTCCCGGGATTTCTTGTAGGCAGCAACCGCAGTGTACTGTTGTAAGGAGACTTTTCATTTTATTTATTGGCTGGTTATGAAGAATATTTGATTGGAAATATGTGGTTCTGTCGATCTTTTTAGTCTTTTAGGAATTTAGACCATATAAAAGCTTTGTGTTCTGGTTATAAAATTTCAATCGACATTTATTATCAGCTCTAATTTTTTCCTTATTATATCAATTTAGTGTGTGCTTGGTGATGAGTGGATGACATAGTCCATAAATTCCATTTCATTGCTCAGTAATGTGTGCTTGAGAATGTAGATGTTTTTATAGGAGATTTTGTGACATAAGTTGCGGGAATTTTATTCTTAGTGATGAAAAGGAAGTCAGGCGATCATTGACAATCATAATCTGAGGGTCATATTAGTTTTAGCCACACTTATAACGAGCCATAGTTTCTAAAATCAGCATTGGATTGTAATAGACTGGGAAGAGAAGTTCAATTTTTATAGATTGTTGCTAGAGAAATTGAGAGTTTTAATGCATTTACGCTAATATCTGATGAGTGTTGAATGGTAATTTGACCGTCACATTTTGGTGAGTGGATTGTAGTATATTTTATTACTGTTAGAGCTCAAACATGATTCAGTTTGAAGTATAAATTCAGTATGATTACGAAATTTCTGTAATGTCGGAGTGAATGTGAATGTAATGTCAATGCATTTGTTGTTTGGGATAGTCTTATGGTATGGTATGCGAATTATGTAATTCCTCGCTCCATCTCTTCCTCACCTTTCGTTTGTGCATGTCTCTCTGTCTTCATTCAGTAAATTTCAAGACATCACGTTATTCATTGTGCCTGAAGTCACTATTAAAACTGCAATTTTTGGACTGGGAAGATTAAAGATAGTTGGAGATGTGGAGATCGGGTATTTGAAAGTTCTAGCTTGAAAAATTTAGGGTTTGAAGTGAGCACTCAAGGTGGAATCGAAAAGTTGGATGATGTGAAATGCACGAGATTAAAGAATTTATTTTTTTGGTCTTTTGTCAAGAGAGCGACGATTCTATGAACTGCGATCATTTTTGCATAGAGAGAGAATAAGGAGTAATGAAGGAAGGGAGTTAGTGAGATAGGATGGCAAGCCATGGAGTGCTTCCTCAAACAAGATCATTGTCTTGTCTTTATGTTATTCCTAATCTCATCCGCTTTCGGAAGGTGATGGTTTGTTTGTCTTTGTCGTGTAGGCATCTAGTGGCTGGGCTGAAGCAGTATTTTCGTTGGTTACGAGGAAAAGTTACTGGTCAAATACAAGTTTTAGCTTTTTGCGACTGCAAATATATAGCTTCTTCCGCATTCGTTCCTTATTCCTTTTTCTTTGCACATGATGCTAAAATGAACAATGGATTACAAAAGGAAAAGAAAGGGACTGTTCATACTCTTTGGTGGCTTTTTATTTCCATTCATCTCCTTCCAGATACATGTGGCGATGGTGGTGCTATTTGTTATAATTCTGTCTTTGTGTTAAATTTGTTAATATTTGTTAAATCTCTTCCTTTTTCGTGCTTCCACTTTACGTTTTGATTTTTTTGGATTTCTGAATTGGTAACCTTTTATCTTATTGTATTATTGTTCGCTGTACGGAAGTTGAAGTGTATGTTTTGCGATAGCATCGTTTTTCCAATATTTTAATGTATTATTTGGCATGTAAAGGGTTTGTGTGGTATCGCAGTTTGATGAATTCTATTTCAGCAAATATCTCGTAATAGAGGTTTGTGCTGTGCAGTACATATCACAATATCAATAGTATAAGCTAGAAAAGAAATAGAAATGTGTGACGACGATGTTGCTGCTCTTGTGATCGACAACGGTTCTGGCATGTGTAAAGCTGGTTTCGCTGGTGACGATGCTCCACGTGCTGTATTTCCGTCAATTGTTGGCCGTCCACGACATCAAGGTGTTATGGTGGGGATGGGCCAAAAGGTAGTATTTGTTTGGAATTTGTTGAGGGCAATGATTTTCACAAATTGATTTGGTTAAACTGTCCTACTGCACAGTTCGATATGTCAGTTTGTAGTAAAATGGTTGCATGTCACATACCGTCACATTTGGTGCTTTGCAAAGTGACTAACAGTAGACTTATTTTCCGTTTGTGCCCTTGGAAGGTTATAGGTGGTGAAATTGTAAGTGCATGAGCTCAACAGTTTTTTCACATATATGAAGCAATTATCTTGCTTTATAGGATTCGTATGTCGGCGATGAAGCTCAATCGAAACGAGGTATTCTCACGTTGAAATACCCAATTGAACATGGTATCGTGACCAACTGGGATGATATGGAAAAGATTTGGCACCATACATTTTATAACGAATTGCGAGTAGCACCTGAAGAGCATCCCGTTCTGCTGACAGAAGCACCACTGAACCCGAAGGCAAACAGAGAAAAAATGACGCAAATTATGTTCGAGACTTTTAACACCCCAGCTATGTATGTTGCAATCCAGGCTGTCCTGTCTTTGTATGCTTCTGGTCGTACAACTGGTATTGTACTTGATACTGGTGATGGTGTTACGCACACCGTTCCAATTTATGAAGGTATTTTGTCTGTTTTTTTTGCTACTGATTCAGTATACAAATCCTCTGAGCGAATATTAAAATTATTGCATTGCAACTTGGTCTTGCAAATTCCGACATCATTTATTGATTAACATGCTTCAGGAAACTTGGTTTCAATTCGAGAAATTATATAGACTTGTAGAATTGTTAATCTGATCATAAAATATCATTTTAGGCTATGCTCTACCACATGCAATTTTGCGTCTTGATTTGGCTGGTCGTGACCTTACTGATTACCTCATGAAGATCCTTACTGAGCGTGGTTACTCGTTCACGACTACGGCGGAACGTGAGATTGTTCGGGATATCAAAGAAAAACTGTGCTATGTAGCCTTGGACTTTGAGCAAGAAATGGCTACTGCAGCATCGTCATCATCGTTGGAGAAGAGCTATGAACTTCCCGATGGACAAGTCATCACTATCGGCAACGAGCGATTCCGGTGCCCCGAAGCTCTCTTTCAGCCTTCATTCCTTGGTATATTCATTGACGTTTATTTCTTTCATCTAATTGCTAAAGGTTGTGGAGCACACAACGACAACAATACGTTGGGAGCATATGTTGTTTATTTAAATGACTTTTTTTAAGGAATGGAGTCGACTGGTATTCATGAGACAACGTACAACAGCATCATGAAGTGCGATGTAGATATCCGAAAAGATCTCTATGCGAACACTGTTCTTTCAGGAGGTACTTCGATGTTCCCGGGTATCGCTGACCGTATGCAGAAGGAGATTACCGCACTTGCTCCAAGGTTAGTGTTTTTGTTGAAGTGTAATATCGAACTAGAGTATTGTTTGTGCATTGCGTGCAGTGCTGATTTGATGCCATTATGGATGTCTAGTTGTTGCGTCAGTGCAGTGATGTCCGAAAGCGAGTTAAATTACCAACCCCCTTCTATTGTTTACAATCCCGTGGCAGGTGCTTTTATGTTTGTGTTGTATTTCAACGGTAAGACCTGATTTAATTCAGTTATTTGTTTTAGCACAATGAAAATTAAGATCATTGCACCACCAGAGCGTAAATATTCGGTTTGGATTGGCGGTTCCATCCTGGCGTCACTATCTACCTTCCAACAAATGTGGATCTCGAAGCAAGAATACGATGAGTCGGGACCATCAATTGTTCATCGTAAATGTTTCTAGGCTGTTGCTGCTATTGCTGCCCTCGCTGATGTTTCAACTTTGTGAAACTTTTCAGGAAAACTATAGCAGCAAATGCAACATAAATACTAAGTTAAGCAGTTCTTATATTTGCCCGTACTTCCCTTCCAGTTATTGCGTACATCGGTATCATACTAGTTTCTTTTATTACTGCAATTAGAAGTCAAAAAAGTTATATCATCGATTTTGGGACTAAATCATCTTTTGTTTTTTTTATTTGTCTTCATATTGAAGTCGTTTGGGTTTTGCCATATAGAGAGACAGATTTGCCGAGAACATCGTTTAAATCTGATGAAAGATTTCATTCATATTCCACAGGATGTGTAGTTCACTTCTTCCTTTTTTCTTAAGGAAAATCACATTCCCGAACTTCATGTTCGTTTACTGCGCTCTTATTCGGAACCTTCTTTTTGTGGATAGAACGGTTGTTTTTGTTGAAAAAGATTTTGGATTTTGAAACAGTTTGAATTTTTACGCAATTTGTTTTGAAGAAATGGGGATCGTTCAGCTTATTTTCTTCATCGACCTATCCGATCGCTCCATTCCCACTTTCTTTTCTGCAACCCTCGTTTTTTGGAAAATATCTGGTTTTCGTTGTTTTTTCTTTAAGCTAAAAATTGTTGGGCTTATTCGCTCACAGGTTTTTCATTTTATTCTTTTGTCGTTACCAGCAATGCGGCATATTTTTTCTTTTTTTGTTTCTTTTGAAATAATGTGTAATAAAACGTTTTTGTTCTGTAAAATTTATTTCTCCGACAGCAATAGCAAAAGGTTTTTTAATGCTTTATGTGGTCTGGAAAGTAACGTTTTTTCGCAAGTATGTGTTAACGCAGCAAAAGATACACGATTACAAGAAAGACCATATGAATTGTATTATCGGGGCCATTCTGTACGAAGATTAACCTAAGCCGGGATGGGATTGCTTTGGTATTAAGGAAGAGAACCGAGAAGTTTGAACTTGCTGCTAATGTGGTAAACGCCAGTTCCAGCAACTTAGTATAGCATCGGCTAGAATTATATTAGCCTAGTGTAGAGGTCTCAACATGAGTCCCTGGCGAACAGGAAATGCGCAAGGAACTTAATACAAATTAATAAAACAGGGATCATGACAAACAAAAATTCGAAAAGAACGTCCGTGCGACGAGCATGGCATGCCAATGGGTAACAGTAGTGAAGGATTAACAAGCACGAGTTTTTTGGGCGAGGTTGGGAGGCCGGTGGAAGTCTGGAGATGCGATCAAAATTTGCAGAAGAAGATAGAAGAAAGGTGATATTCTGGAAGTGTTTTAATTGGTGAGCTTCTGAAAGTAAATTGGAGACAAATGGGCAATGTTTTTGGGTCGGACACTGGCCGCCTTTGTTGTCATGCCAAGGGTCGAGGTTGGGGCACTAGGCACAATAATCTACCGTGAGAACCTTGTAAAGCGGATGTTCAGCAAATAATGCAAGGCTAAAATACTTTGCGAGTATCTTGTATATCTCTGTATATGGCGAGGATCTTTTCCAAATTTATATTTTAATGGTTTCGCAAAGAGGGCAAGCAGCAGGGCACTGTGAAAATTTCTTTCCTGTTGAATTGAAATTTCAAATATGCTGCTTGTCGTTCAATAATTTATTCATTCGACGAGCTAAGCATCTTTCGTGATTTTATAGAAATCTGTAGTCTACAACTAAGTTTAATTTATGTTGGGTAATAATTTTTCGAGCACTTGCATGCAGCTACATTTGATTATCACTTGATTTTATTAAGTCGAAGTTTTTGTAGTGTTACGAAAGATGTATACTAATTCAGAAGAATCTTCCATTCGAAAATATTTAAACAATCGAAAGCGCCAGAGTGATGTTCGTTTCAGTACCACTAATCAGAAATATATGACGCCATCAACGGGTAAACCATCACATATTCCTTCAAAAAAATTATTACATGAAATTTTTATAATCGTTTCATAAACTTGCTTCACTTGTTTCATGAATTTTGTTGGAACTGATGAAGTCGGGATTAGATCTTACGCCTGAGAACATGATATAGTACGTGGAATGATAAGCTAAAATCAGAAGTGAAATAAATGCTGATACAAACTTTTTCATGATATTAGAATTGTATTAAGAAGGAACAAATAATAACGATAAGATACTGTAAATGTTGAGAAAGATTATGTGAGCCTCCCATTAGCAATCATGTTCTAGATTTAGAAATATTAAAAATTAAAGATGAATCATTACTTCTAAAGTTTACTATGTATACAGAAAATTTGACAAGTCTTTTTTGTTTTAATTCATGCTATATATGAACAGGTAGTGGAAGATTATTGTCCGAAAGACTTTCTGTAAAGGTGAATCATCAATCATTCTATTATACGGATTTGCTGATTTGTGGACATATGATTAAGTTACCACCAAATATAAAACCATATGCTACGCAGCGAACAATGATTGCGAAAATTCTTATCACTTTAAAGAATAAACTTAATGCGCTGATCGAAAGCCCAACGGGAAGTGGTTGGTTTTTTAGCTAAGATTTTAATTTTAAAAGTTTTTCAAATGTCAGATTTCCTGCATAGTATAGCAAATATTGTAAAAGAGGGACATGGATAAGAAATATTGCTTGAAATAAGTGTAGAAATTTAACTTTGTTGTGCAATGTAAATTTCTAATAAAGTTTCAGTTTTTCTTTTCAACTGAAGAAAATTTATATAATTTAGGTAAAACGCTTGGGCTTCTGTCAGCAAGTTGTGCTTGGCTTGAAAGATACAAAAAGGAGTACACGCAATCGCGAAATGAATGCAAGGCATGTCGAGGTGGTGTTAACAGTAGATATACTGAGAATAAAACTCCAGATCAAAACGTATTGTTTGGCAAATTAAACGATACTGATATGAGTGATAATAAGAGTAAGGATATGAATACTACATCGGCTGGTTGCACATATGATGCTGAACCATTTTCTACATGTAAGTCATTTTTATCAGTTGCTGAGAAGTAATATTTTTTAATGTAAATTTGCAACTAGTGAAGTTTTTTTAATGTAAATTGAAATCAACAAAGATTGACTGACTATCTTCGTTCAAAAACGGATACTTTTTTTCAGTGGAAGATGAATTTGAAAATGATTTTTGCGCAGTTACACACTCATCATCCGCATCAAATAAGGTGAACTATTGTTTATAAATTCCTTTATCTGAACATTGGTGTTTGTTGCTTTCATTTATTGTTTGAAAAATAAATTATTTGAAAAATATTAAAAATAATTCCAATACGAGGAAAGAAAGAAATGAATGTTTAATACGATATAAATTTGTAGTTGGAAAGTATTGTCCCATTGGATGATAGCAAAATTTTGAAGAAAAATGAAGAGGAAGGCCACACTTGTTTACCGTAAGTTTTTATTATGTATCAATGCTCCTTTAAAAATTTCTAAACTTTAATAGTTAAACTTTAATAGTTAAACTTTAATAGTTCTAAACTTTAATAGTTTAGAAATTTTTTACTTGCTGCTTCGTGTGAAGCGATTAATCATTGCATTAGTTTATAAATAATCTAAACATAATGAGCTTAAGTGATGACTTTCATTCTTCCCTTTATTGCAGATGTTCAAATAATATTTCATAGTGGCTTCTTTCTTTCAGACGTGTGACAATATATTATGGAATGCGGACACATAAACAAATTAGCCAAGTGGTAAAAGAGTTCTCACGCTTACCGTATGGGCAAGAAGGCGTCATAAAGTAATGTATTACTTATGTTATATAATATAGTTTCACTTGATTTTACTTATGCAGATTTTACTTATATATTACTCATACTTATACACTTTTTGTTGTTATGGCGCCTCTATTAGTGAGTTCAACGAGAGAGCTTTTTTTTTTCTTCAGTTTAAATTGAAACTTAAGAATGGTATCATTACGATTAAGCACAACATATAGGTAGTGCTTAGATATTTTTACCAGGACTTTGCGATTTCACTATTTGGTTCCCCCAAAACCCGACAATGGTAAGCAAACAATTAAGAAAAGATAGGGATGTTTTCGATATTGTTTTCCAATCAAAAAATTTTTAGGATGAATTTTATATGCACTCATCCAATTTCGAAGTGATCTGAATTCATCTTTCACATATCGAATTTGATATAGAAGTGCCTTATCGATTCACTGATAATGCCTTGTTTTTTAAAAAATAAGTGAAAAAGAATTGCTATAGGAATGCCATTACCACCATTACGAAAAATTAGTGCTGATAGTAGGCTCACTCTCTTTTATTATTTTGTTGGTTTTATTAACTAAAAATGATTTCCTTGAAATTAAGATAGTTTTTCTACAGGCACACAATATTGGCAAGCCGTGAACATATGTGTATTAATCCAGCAATACGTGCTAGTGATGATGTCAATGGTAAATGTAAAGAATTCATATCTCCGGATGGGGTAATTTAAAATTTTTATTTTGATATTGTATTCCTGAACGAATATTACTGTCCTTTAACTTTGCTTACTATTTACAACTTTATGAGTTCACACGACATTGTATAAAATAGGAATACTTAATTTGCATCGAGTAGTTTCGTGGTTTCGACTCTATTGTTCTCTAAATAAATCGCACCTGAAAGATCGCGGCCATCTTCATCTAGATAATAATAGAAGATCATGTTTTTTTTTTCTAATTTTCTGGAGTGGTTTTCAGTTGTAATTATTGTGTAATAATTTCTTCCACTTTATGTGTATAACTAGTAAACCCTAACCAATTGAGATCAAAAAGTTCAAGACAAAAACAAACAAAAAGAAATATAAAGAATATACAAACACATGCATAGAAAGTAGGTTAAAAAAGCAAGTAAAATAAGCTTCTTAAAAAAAAATTAACCTCAAACATATAACAAGTAAAATGTGACATCTCATGTCTCATGACATCTCGCGTTAATAATCAGTATATATGTCATAAGCTTTAATGCATTATTAATTAAAATTGAACAATTCAACACGAAAAAAT